GCCTGGAAGGTAAAGGTGACAGTCGTGCCTGTGGTGGTCGGAGCACTTGGGGCAGTGACCCCCCAAACTAGATGAGTGGTTGCAACAGATCCCGGGAACAACATCGGACATCTCAGTCCAGAAATGTGCAGTGCTGGGAACAGCAAGGATACTGCGCAGAACCCTCAAGCTTCCTGGCCTCTGGTAGAGGACCCGAGCTGAATGAGGGATGGACACCACCCGAGGGGTGAGACGAGGATTTTTTTTTTTTTTTCCGGAATTTTCAGAAAAGTCTACTTTCATCTCTGAAAACGCCGGAGCTCGCAAAATGAGTAAAAAAAAAACTGCTGGAGATCGCAAATGACGGTGGCCTTAGAAGTACGTTTGAGACAACTGGATTAAAGTGATGGCTGAATACTCTGAGATCGCCACAATAGCACTCTTGCTATTTCCAACATCCTACCTGTGTGAGGCGGGGTCTTCTGCAGCAACGGCGACTAAAACAAAATTACGAAGTAGACTGGACATAAACCACACACTTGAGGTGTCATTGTCTCCTATTACCCCGAGATGGGACCGTCTGGTTGCAGAAAATCAAGCTCTGGGCTGTGGTGAGTCGTCATTTTCATGCACTTTGAATTTGCGTTGTATCGTATTTTGAAGGCATTAAACATTACCATAGCGATCAGTGTTGCGGCCAGATTAGACGCTCCTTGAATAAACACAAGGAGCGTCTAATCTGGCCGCAACACTGATCGCTATGGTAATGTTTAATGCCTTCAAAATACGATTATATTTCGAAAACACCACAGTTTTCATGCAGCTCATACCATATTATTTTGTTGTATTATTTCCAACACACCTTAAATGCCGGTCCCTCTGAAAATATTGTCTGACATATACCGGTCCGTGGGGCAAAAAAGGTTGGGGACCCCTGTTTTAGACGACCAAAGTGAGTGCTTCCGGGTTGCTGCGGCAATGGTCAAGATGCTGTTCTTGCTGCAAGCTACTAATCTTTTGCCCAATCTTTTTTGACCAAAGATCTATTTTTCAATCAACCAACCTCCCGCGATTGACCCGTTACCTCACGCACTTACACGCATGCCATGATGAGCAACAGCCATAACGGCCCCTAAGATAAACAAAACAGAAAAAAGAAAGTAGACATAAGAGTTTGTGGGTTTGTGAAAAGGAAACCACTGCCTACCTTCGTCGAGACCTGACTGGAGGCATAGCACACACTTTTGCAGAGTGTTAACAATCGTAGCTCATGTGTACCGTTTTTAAATGTTTCTCTCGGCCCTCCAGATTCTTTGCCAGTGCCCTTGGTGAATTGGACATGAAACAAACATGTGATGCAGGTCACGTGCCACTGTAGGTTAAAGGTGACCTGCTTTTTTATTATGATTTTTTTTTTTTTAATACTTGTTGGGAAAGTGAGACTGATAGGATGCTAAGGGTGCGGTGTGCACGGACCCAAAAATATATCACATCAATAATATGCACACAGACACACAAATGTTTTGTTTTGGGGGTGTTTCCCCTCTATACCCCTCGCGATTGACTTGAGACCAGTCCGCAAGCTACCAGTCGCGATCGACATATTGGGCACCCCTGCACTAAACCATCAACAAGAGCACATCCTGAAGATGCCACAGTTCAGACATTATTGACCAGATTTAAAGATACACTCGGTGGCACTTAATTGAGGCAACAGAAATGGGTTTCAATGGATGTTAGATGTGGTGTTAGATTTTGTGTATTATTTCTAGGAGGAACAAGCATTTCAAAAACCAAGTTAAAGAAAGCCAAAAAGTCATTTCTGTCTCTTAATAAAGTCAACGCCAGTGAGGCTAATTACACATATTTTTATTGGTCAGACTGTGCAAAAAACCACAAAGCATCTCATTTTGTCACAAAACTTTGCCAGCCTTTGATTTACTCACGGAGGAAATGCACTTTGGGTATCATTATGGGTATGATGCTACATTCTATAATGATGATGGCCTTTTTTGACAAAAGTGCACTCACATTTGCACAGATTGCCCTCAGGCTTCACACCCAAAATTGCCAAAGCCCATTTCCTGACATGTTTTCCCCAGGCTGTCCACAAATATCATAACAACCGCTATTCTGTCGCTATTATGGAGAAGGCTGCATGTGGAGAAACACGTTGCATTGTATCTCTATCTGTCAGTACATATGTTTTGCTCCTTGTTCTTTCCACCAGCTTCTCGCTCCCATTCTCCCAGCCTCTCTTTCCACACTGCTGGGTTTTAATCACTGCTGTAATTGGCAACTCCCTGCTGTGAGCGTACACCACACACACACACACACACACACACACACACACACGCGCGCTTGCCGCCTTGCTGCTGCAAATCCCTCTGGCAGTGTATGCATATATGTGTGTGAGTGTGTGTGTGTGTGTGTGTGTGTGTGTGTGTGTGTGTGTGTGTGTGTGTGTGTGTGTGTTGCGTGCGTGTGTGCGTGTGTGCGTGTGTGTGTTGGGGGAAGGAGAGGGAGATATGGGCAGATAAGAATAATGAAAGGAGGAGAGTTTTAGAACTGCAGGCCAACTCACCAACTCAACAATCTGTCTGCTGTGAGGAAGTGGAGCAGCGCAGCCAAATAGTAATTATCTCAGTGGGGAAAAAAAAAGACATGGCGCAAGATTTATTGTGGAAGCCCACATTGTTGTGGAGTTGCTTGAGAACCTGATGTTCTTATTCGAAGAGATAATTACAACTATGAAAAGGCTTATCTGGATGGAATAATAAATACACTAATAACTGGGAGCTGAGGAATAAACTGCACGATGCACCAAAATCTGGAGCATTTTGTACTAATAAAATAAAGGGTCTTACAATCATGTTATCTACTCGTCTCGGGTTAATCGAATGACTACCGACTGATATTTGTGTTGTCTTTTTGCTGGTTTGGACATGAGTTGGACCACTCAATAATAATGTAAAATTGTAAATGATAGCCTTCGTTGAAGAAACAACAACAACAACGACAGTACCTGTATTTTATTGTGAGCTGATGCAACTCAAAGCAACATCCTAAATCATTCCTTCGCGTAACAGCTCATAAGATGGTGTACGTAATTGAAGTTGTACATGTTAATCTTGCTTTAGCGACTTTCAAAATTCCCATTTTTGGTTCGTTGGAGATAAATATATCACAATAAACTAGATTTTTAGTGTATATTTTCTCATTTTCTTTTTATTTTATGAGTTTTTGATTGCTGAATAAATGTATTATGTACCACCCATTGTACAATCTGTCACAGCTTTCCCAAATTACCGACAGTGGTAAATTTATCCATACATCCATCGATTTTCCGATCCGCTTATCATCACAAGGGTCGCGGGGGTGCTGGAGCCTATTGCAGCTGTCTTCGGGCAGTAGGCGGGGGACACCCTGAACCGGTTGCCAGCCAATAGCAGGATACACAGAGATGAACAACCATCCACGCTCACACTCACACCTAGGGACAATTTTAGAGTGTTCAATCAGCCTGCCATGCACGTTTTTGGAATGTGGGAGGAAACCGGAGTACCCGGAGAAAACCCACACAGGCACGGGGAGAACATGCACATGCCACACAGGGAGGCCTCTGCACTGTGAGGTCGGCGCGCTAACCACCGGGCCGCCCATATATATATATATACAGTAATCCCTCGTTTATCGCTGTTAATGGGGACCAAAACCACCCACGATAAACGAAAATCCGCGAAGTAGCGTCCAATTAACATAAACAGGTAAAAAAAAAAAAATGTTTTTAAGCCCGA